CATGGATTTGGGGACCCTCGTTGTCATGACTCCACAGCAAGAAGACTCTGCCTGCCGAGGAAAGAAATCTCAGGCTGCCGTGGTCCGAGATGCCAGGCGCCTACACGCAACCAAAGACATGGATTTGGGGACCCTCGTTGTCATGACTCCACAGCAAGAAGACTCTTGCCTGCCGAGGAAAGAAATCTCAGGCTGCAGTGGTCCGAGATGCCAGGCGCCGGTTCTCACCCTCTGCTCGAGTCAGCGGTGAGAAGCCGGGCCGGGAGCTGTCCTGCTCCACAGCCACCGTCTGCTTGGCAGAATGTCCTGGGGCCGGTCCTTCCGAGGCCACTCGAGGGCAGAGCTGGCAGCTCCTGCCCTCTCCAGCCGGTCTGGCACGGCGCTCCCTGGATCGCAGCTACCACATCGCCGCTGCGGTTTTGGGGGGTGGCCAGAATCCAGAATGCTGACGCTGGGCGCCCTGCAGCTGCCTGTTCAAGCTTTAGGGACACACACCCTGGAAAGCTGGGGCAGAGGTGGAAAAGAGAAGAGCGAGGCTTTTCCCAGGGACTGCCAGGACCACGCACCAGAGGGGTAGTGCCCCTGCCGGCCAACTCCGGTAACTGCAGCCTCTTCTGCTTCTGCGAAGAGGCTCTTTCTGCTTGTCTTGGGTGTGAAGCTCTTGTGTGTGCTCTCAGCCAAAATGAGACTGCTTTTGTTAAGCAGCAGATAGGTGCGGGAGTTGTAGGACCAAGAAAAGCATAATGTCAGTATGCCGGGCTTGGCAGGACGGCGGAGGCCAGTGTCTATTCCAACCCCCGGGACTGGCAGGAGAGGATGCTCTCGGAGCTACACGGACTGCACCTGTGAAGGTCAGACCTGTGCGACCATGAGTAGCCTTGGGCTTCTGGGCCAGCAAAGGGTTCTGCCCGAGGCTCCACTGGGGGTGCAGTCATCGGGCACCTTTCCCATCAGAGCACAGGTCACAGTTCCCACGTGGACTCGGCGATCTCGCCACCCTTCGCGGTTCCTATCTATAAATGCAGATGGAAGACACAGACCCTCCTTAGTCGAGACTGCGAGGACTGGTGGTCATGTGAGTGAAGCGCCCGGCCAGGAAGCCATGTGCAGACATCTCAGGGAGATGAGCAGTGCTGCAGACCACGCCAGCCTTCTCGGCCGTGTGGGATCTGGGAAGGGCTGGATAGACGCCCCACATCGGGGCTGGGGTCCTCACTGTCTGTAAGAAAAGCATGTGAAACCCGCATGCACTGCTGCTGGGGATGGAAAATGAGAAACAGTTGGGCAGTTTCTCGTGTAACTTTACGGCTACCATGTGACCCAGCAACTCCATACCTAGGTAGATCCCCAGAAGAAGTGAGAGCAACGTCCATCCAGGGACTTGAGAGTGAATGTTCAGGCAGCATCAGGTTAGTCCTAAGAGCCAGAGGATGGAAACAACCCAAATATCCATCCATTGTGGAAAGCTGTACAGTGGACTATTATGCAGCCAGAAAAAGAAATGAAGTCCTGATACAGTTGCAGTGAAAACAATATGCTAAAGGGAATAAGTGAGATGCAGAAGGGCCAATACTGCATGACTATATCTATCTGAAATGTCTGGAACAGGTCAATCCACAGAAACAGGATGGAGATTAGCAGGTGCCAGGACCTGGGCATGGGGAATGACTGCTGAGGAAGGTGAGGTTTAGTTGGAGATGATGAAAATGTTGGGGAATAATATTGTGGGGCTGGCCAAACACTTTGTGAATACACTAAAACCTACTGAGTCTACAACATGTGAATTAAGCCGCAGTAAAACTTACTTAAACAAGAAGATCCTTAGCATGCCAGCTGGAGCGTGCTCCAACTGTGGACAAACAAATGAGATGGCCGTGTGGAGGGAACTTTTGTGAGCTTGGCCTATAAATCAGATTAACCAGCTTCCCTCCCTCTGCTGCGCCCTCAGAAGGAGCTGCAGCAGCTGCAGGCTGTGCACGAAGTGTGAAGCCTCCTGTGCATGCTGGGGCCGGAATTGGGAGGAAGATGCTCCATCCGCGCCCCAGGACAGCCTCACCTGGTAGGCAGCACACAGGAAGTAGCCCAAGCTCCTTCCGCCTGCCGTGCCTCAGTCTCCAGACTTACAGGGAGGAGCCAGGCATGGCAGTGCACACCTGTAATCCCAGCACTGAGAGGCCGAGGCAAGAGTCGGGCCCAAGTGAATGCAGAACCTCATCCCTATCTGAGACTCTATTTCTGAAAGGGGGCTGCAGATTTCCACTATCCCCGACCCTTGTTTCTCGGCCCAAGCCACCTCTGTCTCCTATCTGCTTATCCAACAGCTACTTCCTCGGTCTCTTTCTTTCCATCCTTGTCCCCCCTCCCACAGGAAGTCTAGTCTCACATTAGCAACCAGAGAGACAGAAGCTCTGTTCAAAGCCCACAGTGAATCCCATCAGGCTCAAAGTAAAAGCCAAGGTCCTGACAGTGGCCGTAGCTCCGTGGGTCATGTGCAAATTCCTCATTACACACACACTGCAGATCACCAGCCCTGACACCCCACATGCACAGACCCTGCTATTACTATAGGATTCAAAGGGCCTAGAATAGCACTGGGTACCTAGTAAGCCCCCAGTAACTATTTGTTGGTGACGATCATACTGATATAGAGCTAGATGGAGAAGTCGTGACTCCTATCCCTGGGTAGAAAACCAACTACAAGTCTGCTTGATTCGATCCAGTTCTACAAATGGGTGAGAGTGCTTACTACACACCTAGGAGGCCACTCCGAATCACTCCAGACAAGGATTAGCTCTGGAAATGGACTGAAGCCCAGTGTCAGCCTTTGCTCAAAACAACTGTCCCACTTCAGTTTCAACCCCGTCTTTAAAACCCATTCAGGCTCCGGGCCTTCATTATACTTTCAGAGGCTGGGCTGGCCCTCACTGACTTCTCCCAGTACTCTTTCAGTTCTTGAAAAGTGCCTGGGTAGTGGCTGGCTAGCTGGCTTTCCTTTCTCTCTCTCTCTTTCTTTCTTCTTTCTATCTTTCCTTCTTTCCTTCTGCCAGAGTGTTTTTGTTTTTGTTTTTATACTAGGGATCGAACTTGGGACCTTGCACTTGCGAGGCAGGTAGCAGAACCACTGAGCTAAATCCCTGGCCTTGCTAGAGTCTTGCGAAGTTCTCTGGGCCAGCCTCAAACTCATGATCTTCCTGCCTCGGCCTCCAGAGTAGCTGGGGATTACAGGCGCATGAACTGTGCCTGCCTCTTGGTTGTCTCTGGAATAAGCCAGTTGCCTCCTCAGCTCACAGGGCAGGAGCGGTGTCTTATCCCCAGGTGAGGAGGGTCTCAGTGGTCTGAGTCTGCCTCACCCCACATTTGACCTTTTCCCTGAGATTCAAACTAAACGTCTGCTTGACTACAGACCCTTCCACCTTCCACACAGAAGACGCCTGGTTTGGGGCTGTTGTCTGGAAATGAGGTCCCAGGATGGTGGCCTCATCACCAGAGGCTGCCACTTGCCTGGGCATCTCAACCACCTTCCCAGAGAGGCCCCTGTTAGCTTTCTATTTTAAGTATTTAAATGGCTTTGAGACTCCATGCATGGGTTAATTTATCTTTCAGATGGAAACTCAAGGAACCAAGAAAGCGATGGGTGTGGAAACAGACTCCTGTGGGAAGCTCCCCACCAGGTCCATGTGGTCCTGCGGCTGGATGGCAGATGCTACGTGCTGGGCTTCAGCTGCCGTGGTCCCGGGCACCGGCAGTCACTGCCAGTGTCTGCCGAAGGAATGGGAGGCTGGGCCACACAGGCTGCGCTTGAAACGAGACCTGCCACTTTGCAGCGTGATCGTCCTCAATGTTTACTCATTTTGTTGCTTCATTTTCTCGACCATCACAAATCACACCAAGTAAAAAGACAAACAGTGCAGCCCCAGAGGTGGGAGAGGGCTCTCAGGAGCAGAAGCAGCATCGGCACTTTCTGTTGGTGAACTCCCTGAGCTTGGGTTTCGCAGCCCCAGGAGATGCTGGCTCTGCTTTCTCCAGGACACGGGACACTGGAACTCAGACCTGACCGCGCATTTCCCATCCTCCAGCCGCACAGCAGGCGTCCACCCCAATCTGATAATAAATCCGAGTGGGAAAGGTAAACACGGGCTACAATCAATTCATCCATGTTTGGGGCCTTGCTGGAGAAATGGGAGAAAACCCAGGGTCGCACTGGCTGCTGACTTATTTCATTCAGATAAGTCTGTTTCCTTTGCAGTCTGGGTAAATGTTAGGAACCAAGCGGGCTCAGCCTGGACCTCGGATCCGGGATTCCTCTTTGTCATACAGCCAGCCGTGCAAATGCAAAGGGCTGGGCTGGGCAAAGTTCTCTCCTCAAGCCTCCAGCTGCCACTCTCCAAATGAACCCATTTCTTGGGTTCCTTGGGGCTCACCAGGGCCAGGAAGACAAGCAGCTCTTCCCACCGTCACCAGAGGACCCTGAGCTCTGTGCATGAGCCCAACCTTCCGGAAGTCCCTCTAGGAGCCCTGCTGGGAAGGAAGGGTGGCTGCTCCTTCGAGCCATCCTCAGTGGGCCTGCAAGCCGCGACTCACACCCTCCGGCCTTCCTGAGCCTGCTGCTCCTCTCAAAGCTGAGCACCCAAGGAAGGCGTGCCATCAGAGCCCCACAGGCTTGCTGAGCCTCAAATGGGTCATCAGCTGCTGCACCCACTGGAACCTCCATGAACGCTGGGCTCAGCCTTCTTTTGCATAATTTCAGCCCATTCAAGGGAATTCCTAGGCAAGTCCCCCTGTTAATAAGCCGTGAGGGGAGGAGGGTGTAGGGCCTCAGAAGAGCACTTGCCTGTCGTAGGCTAGGCTGACCTGAGCTTGGTCCCCAACACTAAAAGGAGCGGGGGAGCTTCTGCTGGGCATTGGTGGTGCCTGCCTATAATCTCAGCATCTGGGAGGCTGAGGCAGGAGGATAGCTGAGAATCTGAGACCAGCCTGGGCTACATAGTGAGTTCAAGCCAGCCTGAACTACATAGCAAGAACCTGTCTCAAACAAAACGAAACAAAAACTGTCATGCCCAACAGAGGCCAAGACAGGCCATCTCACAAATGTCTCTCTTCCCTGGGAAGGCACACGGTAGACAAGCAGGTGTCCTGTCCCAGGTGTCTGTTGGCAGGGCAGGTCCTGCCTGTGCTATGGGCCGGGCTGTCTCACTCGCCTCCACAGCCAGTAAGCGGGTGCTGCTCCAGAGATTCTCACCTGATCTTTCTGGTAGTCCTTGGACAGGGCCCCGGCACGTGGGGAGCGGGACAGGGAGGTGCGGTGAGCTTGCTCTCTTTCTGCTGAGACACACATTACAAAGTGCCATTTCCTGTTCCATGAGGACACCATTCAGTCTCAGTTTCAGGCCTTGGAAGTCTGAGGTGTAAGGTCAGACAGTGCCTTCCAGTGCGTCTCCACCCGGAGTCCTGGGGCCCTCCGGTGGCTGAGTGGGCAGAAGGGCAGCTAGTTGTAAGGCTGCTATTGTTTCAGCTTTGAGAAAAATAGATTTCACTTCAGGAATATTTTAAACCAGGATGGCTGAAGTGAAAGAACTGAGAATCTTACTTGTTGGCAAAGATCAGAGGACACAGAACTCTCAGTCTTATGCTGTTAAAGTGCAAACTGGAGCCAAACCTTGGGATTCCTTGGAGGTATCCAGCAATTGCCTCAGCAATCCCTCCCCCAGGTAAATGTTCAGAAGCAATGAATATTTATGTTAAAAGTACAAGTACGACAAAGTTTGTAGTACCATAATTAACGGCAGTAAAAAAGATTGAAATAGCGCCCAAGTGAATAGATAAATAAATTGCAGGATAATTTTCCAACAGCACCAGACACAGCGGTGAAGAAAACTGGACCACTGCTATTCAGTGCCACAGGAAAAGATCTCACAGACACAAAAGGAAGCCAGACACAGAAGTGTACATGGAGTGGTTACATTTATGGAACTCTTAAAAATGACAAAACCAATCTATGAGGACAAAGATCAGAATAGTGCTTACCTCAGAGAGACATCTACATAGGGTCTGGTTAGATAGCTTAGCTCTGCTCATTTTAGTCCATATGCTGCACCTCAACAGAAAAAGAATAAAGGAGGGTGTCTGGGGGCCTTCTTTCTCCCAGATGAGCACCCCATCAGCACTCTTCCATTCTTTCATGCTCTGCTTTCGGGAAAGACTTGCAAGGGTATTTGTAAGTGAAGCTGGGGGTGTTCAGATAAGGACAGAAGCCCAGATGAAACCAGGTACAAAGATCAGGAGGTCCTGTGTGCTTCCCTGGGTGGGCTGAAGAGAGCTTCCTAGTGGCCAATGCAAAGAAGAAACAGGAATTCTATATCCAGAACTTGGCAGTCCTGGTGGATCAGAAGCACGGGTAGTCCGGAGCCTCGAGACACAGTTCCCGTTTTAAAATTTGTTTTCTGAAACATTGCATTTGCCCCAGCTGTACACATGTCTTCAGCCCACACTTCTGCCCCTGTGAGATTTAGGGGAGGCAGCCCCTACAGACCAGCCCTGCCCGTGGAGCAGGGCCTGGCACCACACATCGTTCACTTTCCTGCATGTGCTTTGGGGGGTGCCCTGTTCTCCAGGGCTGGGTTTCTGATCTTCGGAGTGCACGGCTTGCCATCCTTGCTTCTGGCACCCAGGCCTGCACCCTGGGCATGCTCTTTGCTGCTCAGCCCATCTCCTTCCTGGGTGGTGCTGCCGGGCAGCCCCAACCCTTCACCAGCAGCAACTCTGCGTGGGGCAGGCACAGTAGCCAGGGCACTGGGCTCTCTCCTCACTGGCTTCCGGGCTGATGGATCTTTCCACCTTCTGGCTCCTGTTTCTGAGTTGAATTCATATATTGCTCCAGTCACTGCGTGGGGGGTGGCGCACAACAATCATATAAACTCAGGAATTCAAACAATTGTGTCTCACCCCACCTCTCCCCAGCTCTTTTCTGACAGAGGCCGCGGATCAGGCTAGGAGGCAGGTTCTCAGTGGCACATGCTTGTCACCAGCCTGCCCTTCCCACAGGCCTCAAGGCCAGTGCCACCCCTCTGAGGGCAGGAAGGTAGGGGACAGTCTCAAAGCCATCTCCCTTGCCAACGAGGGGCCCTGTCCCTCTGGAGCTCCCTGCGAGTGTCAGATAAACCAGGATCGACTTCTAACGGGGTTGCCCATGACATTCTGGTTTATTTTGTTTGTTTTGAAAGACCCCTGAATCCCTGCTCTAAAAAGGAATTCACTGAGTGAGGAGGAAAAGGCTTTGCTTTTTATTTATGTTAGAGGAGCAGAGATTTGTAGACAGACATACAAATCTGGCCCTACTAGAGATGATGTAAGAGAACTGCTTTTACTGTATCAGAGCCAACAGACACTAATTGACGTGTTTGCTCAGTTGGCTCATTTCTCCCCTTTTCTTTTTCTTTTTCTTTTTTTTAAATTTTCTCAAACAAACAAAAACTGCCAAAGTCCTCCCAGCTTGCTGTGGACCGTGGTTTTAGGCAGGCCCAGCCGCTGCCCCTCTCCACACAAGCTCTCGGCCTGGCTCTCACCAGCACTTCTGCTAATGTGGGCGCATTATGGTAACAAGTGCCTAATAACAGAGGGAAGTTTCATGGCGCGGCGGCAGCTTCTCCCTGGAGAGGAGCCATCCCCCTTTGGAGGAGGACGCAAGCATTCGCCGAGGCGCGTGGCAGGGAGCCAGCACACTTGCCTCCTGAATTTGGTTTCCTTCCCTTTATTCATGTCTATAATTGAGCCTTTGTAAGCAGAGGGATGTGTGTAAAGGAGCTAAATTCAGAGCTGATTTCGGGGGGTGAGGAGAGCGCTGGAGGCCAGATTTACTTAGGTTCATCTTGCCAACCAAGAGTGAGTTGTTGGCGCCAATCTAGGAAAAAAAAGAAGCCAAACTTGCCATTTCTTCTACTACCAAGAGGATGGTACTAGAAGCATTCAGGAAGGATGGGGTAAGAGAGGGAGTTCCAAGGAGCAGGGGGAAAATATGTGGCATCTTGAATTCGGGAATTTCCTAATTGGTTGGTGAATTGGGCAGGGAGACAAGAAAGAGGTGTGTCCTTGAGTGCAAACCTTTAGGTGGAAACCTGCCCCGGACCAGTGCCAGCTGCCAGCTGCCTCTCAGGGTCAGCTCTGTACTGTGTGCAATGTGGCCAGAGGGATGGACAAACTGAGTTATGAACCGGAAATCAAACATGGGAGGGACAAGCACTCCTCTGGGTAGCCTTGCTGCTGGATTACCTGGGTCCACAGCTTCTCCATCAAAGACAGTGTCCATCTGGATAGTTTTCTAAGGAGAAGAAAGAGACAGCCTCAGGCCCGGCCCTGGGTTCCTCCTCACAGCCCACATCCCACTCAGAGCTTCTCTGCGCTTATCCACTCAGCAGGCACTATGCTGCATGCTGGGGACCCCACGTGAGCGAAGCTGGCACTGTTACTGCCTACACAAAGCTCGCCGCTGACAAACAGGGGCGACAGTGCAGTCAGTCACAAGGCTACAGTGGAAGAGATGTCAGATGCTGTGGGGCACGCACAAGACAGGGGAGGACACAGAATGCAGCCTTGGGGGTCAAGGGTCTGAGTCAATGGTGCCTGGGTTGTGGGGAAGGAAGAATAGAAATGCCATGCACCATGGGCTAAGAACGCATCTTCTTAAGGGTCACTGGCAGGCAGGCTTGCAGAGTGGGCACAGGGGAGTCCTGGAAATGCCGACCTCTGACCCTGGCACTCCTGCCTTCTCTTTTGCCACCTCTCCCATTGGCCGAAGCAATGTCAGATCTAGGGCTTCCCTAGGCCTGTGCTCCAGGAGCTGGACTCTGTGCCCCCTCCCTGGACCTGACCTCTGCCCAATACCTGTCTCTGACCCTAGGGCCACCCTGTGCCCTCATGTGATGCCCTCTACAGGGGCTGAGGTCAGGGTCATTAGCTCACTAAAGAGTGGTGTCAGGAGCTTAGTGGTTTTTCAACCAATCCCCAGCTGGCATCACAAATATAATCACCTATTCTCTTCCCCGTAGAGAAAGGAACAGGAATTGCATGGGTTTCACCAACTGGGCAAGCTCAGCTGCCACACTCTTTATGCCATGGGGATTCATTTACCTAACAGATTAACATTGCATAGCTCTAAGGCCATCTCTCGGGCCGTCCCGAACAGTGAGTGCCTCTTCCGCCCGCCTGTAGGTTGACCAGAGCCAATGAGCTTACAGCAAAAGTTCTGGGGCTCCCCTTGGCCTTCCTCACTGCAAACATCCACCAAACCCAAGTGTCTTGGACCATTATAAAGTTTTACTTTGAGGAATGGGAAGGTGCCAGGAGACTCACCATTTCCCAGGGAGGACATTAGGTTCAGTAAAACAGAGGGCGAGGTGGAGAGGTCACTCCAGCTCTCCCATCACCTTTGCATTTGTGTAGCACCTGACAATGTTCAAAAATGTGAACTCCCTCCCATTGCACAGGTCAGGAATCCAAAGCTTAGTGAGACCAAGAGGTCCCCAAGGTCCTATGGCTGAGCAGAGAGCCTTGCCTTGGCCCAAGCAGTGCTTTCTCTAGCACTTTCCCACAGGGTTGTGAAAGAACATGGAGAAACGGAATCCCACGGAAAGCTGAAACCCCAGTTCCGGTCCTTGTGTCCTCCTCCCCTATGCACCGCGCTGGGGAGCTGGTGTAGATGATAACACCACAGCTCGATATTTAGGAAACCCAGCACTTCTGCAAAGACATCGCAGACATGCTCAGAGGAAGGAAGCCATTCTGTCAGAAGCTTGTCACTGGCACACTGTTCCGGGGGCCGTTCCAGGCCTGCCTGTAGGGACACCTCGCCACCACCCAGCACCCAGCGCCCAGGACCGGCCACACTCACCACCACCACCGTACTCTTCACTCTGTAGGGACACCTCGCCACCACCCAGCACCCAGCGCCCAGGACCGGCCACACTCACCACCACCGTACTCTTCATACGCTTCTTGTCTGCAGGGAAGAGCACAGGCAGCAGTTGACACATTCACGATGGGGCTATAATTTGTATGTCTCTCTGCCAGGTGGGGCCCAAATGACTATCCCACCAGCCGGCACGGGGCAGGCCCATCGGGTGGCACAAGCCGCCCAGTGGGACAGTCATGCTCAGACCACCAGTGGTTCAAGCTAGCAGGAATTCGTCGAGCTTTGTGAGTGCTAAACTGACCTTAAAATTCCATGTCCTCCCTTGCCCGTGGCCTGAGTCAGTTTGAGGCGACAACAAGCTGCCTCCCTGCATGTCCTCAGGTGTGGGGCACTCAGGAGAACCTGGCTTGGTTATCCACTTCTCCGAATCATTCTGCTCTCCTAGCTCCTCTCAGAGTACTCAGACCCCTCTCCAACTAGTCAGACCTAACTAGCTCGTGAAAACGATCAAATCCGTTACAATCCCTTGCTATTCTTCTAAAGCTCTAAGTATGGCTTGTTCTTTCCAAAGAAGCAGGTGACCCAACCAGCATTAGCCCTGGGAGAGAGGCCACACCCGTGCACAGTAGCAAGCAGATACTGAGTGTGTTTATCACTCACAGAATTCTTGGGGCCCTGCTCCGGGAGGGGAGCAGACCTACTGCTTCAGTAGGGCTGACAGGAGGTGACCCTGGTAGGAGCAGGGAGCACCATGTGAGGAGGCCAAAGGGGCCATGCAGCCGGCCCCACGCATCCCCCACAGCCACGTGGCTGAAAATCCACCAGACACAATCGCACCCTGATTAGGCTGAAGCCTTTTACAGTGCACAAGAGAGCAGAAAAACAAGGAACAGAAGAAGGAAATGGGCACTGTACATACCGGTAGCTCCTTTCTTTGCCCTATGGAGGAGGGGAGGAATGAGATTAGTTAACCTGAAAGTATTGCATACCGGCACACACCTAATAACTCAGGGCCCTTTGGGCAACTGTGTTCTTTGGGGCTCAGGGTCTATGTTGTTCAAGGGGCCAGGGGTGAGGGCCTCGAAGAAGTCTGGGCTGCTGCCCTGCTTCAAACAAAACGGCTCTCTCTCTGTGCCCCAGAGCACTGCCTCAAACTCCAGGGACTCCGACTGGTCACCAGGTAACTTAGTTTTCAGTCCTGTTTTCCTGCCTCCAGCGGAGGGCTTGGCTCACAGCAGGGAGGCGGCCAGGCTGGCTGTTAGATCTGATTCCCTGAAACACCAACAGCTGGACTTGGACTCTAAGACCCTTCCTATGACCAACTTGAATTCTATAATTCTGCGACTCTAATTGTATCCTTTGCTATTTGACAATTGGTTACTGTCACATGATACAAGTAATGATCAGGGAGGCCAGGTCTGAGGCTGAGTTTCTAGCATGTTTTTCTTTTTGAAATCAACTACACTGAAAACAGTATTTAGAATATGAGTTAAAACAACCAGGTTCAAGGCACATATTTAACATTTATCCATAATTGCATGTGAGTTGCAACATCTTATTGGATTCCTTCCTTCAAGAACTTCTACCTAAATCCTAGTACAGGGCACCACCATCTTTATAAGCTTAAATGTCATTCTTTAGAATCAGTCCTTTCTTTGAAGTCAATTTGTAAGTAGAGTACAAACAAAAATGTCTTTTTTAATTTTAGCAGATGCTCAAGGATTCCTTACCTTGAAGTTAAGGTTGCCAATAGCAACAGACTTCTCCAATAAATATGGCAAAACACAATGCACATCTTAATGCTGATGCCTTATACTTTTATACCATTTTCATCCACAGATTTCAAATGATTTGATAGTTAACAGTTTATTTTCAAAATACCTTTAGGGCCAGGGATTTGGCTCCATGGTTCCACCGCCTGCCTCACAAGCGAAAGGGCCTGAGTTTGATCCCCGATACCAAAACATAAAAACAAAATAAAATACCTTTAAAAGGCACCTGCTTCTTATCACTCTTTTTTTTGCCATTAAGAAATCCTGAAACTCAAATGGCTTAACACCCCAACCTACTGGGCTGTAAGGCGAAACTTGAATCTAGAATCTTAATGCAATGAGAATTAGTTGTGAAGAAGAGTACAACAAAACTTAAAAAAAAAAAAAAGGCTATGGTGTCTTAAGCATTTGCTCCACAACAGGAGCACCACAAAGTGCTTTCTCGGCATTGGTTTAATTGGTTAGTTTTACAAACAAGAAAAGTGAAGCTCACAGAGGGTTGTCACTTGCCCAGAGCCATGTCTGAACAAGATGATAGAGCCCATATTTGAACCCAAGCCTTGCCTGATTCCAAAGTCAAAGCTCAGAACCATCACACTGTGCTCAAAGAACTAAGAGCCCAGAAAGCTGGCTCTGGGAGGGCTGGGATGAGTAAGTGTTTTGTCCACTCCACTCCACAGGCTGTCCCAAACAGAGGCATAGGTAGGCCTGAGCAGACGAGGACAGAGAGCCTTGCCCATGTCTGCAGCCCCTGAGGGCAAGAGACTGGGCCATGTGCAAAAGGACAATGACAGTCCAGTCACACAAAAGCCCAGCTGAGCTACCAGAGCCAAAAGCTTAATTCCCTCATCTGTGTTGTGTGAGTGTGTGTGTGTGTGTGTGTGTGTGTGTGTGTGCATGCGTGCACGTGTGCTTTCTTTAATTTCATCCCCTGCTAAAATATTCTACAAATCAGAGCTCAGCCTGCTCTACCACTACTCACAATAGGGCTTTCTCAGTCTTTTGTTCAGGGCAAGGTCACCCAAAGTGTGATGGCTCAGTTTCACTGTGACACCACCAGGGACAGGTAGGTTGCCAGAGAAGCCAAAGGGATGTTTTCCTGGCCCTACTGCTGACCTTTAAAGAGGGAGCCCCAGGCTCAAGGGCAGCTGGGATTCCTCGGGCTCCCATCTGCACTTTCCTTCATACCAGGTCCCATGCCTGGGAGAGAAAGCCTGAGGAAGGGCCCGGCCCACCGCTGACTTACGAAGGCTTCTTGTCCTGCCCAGTCTCACAGGGACAATGTCTGTGGATGGCTTTGGCCAAAAGGACGATCAGCGACACCACGAAGCCCAGGAGCAATATGGAGCCCAGAGTGGTGACAAAAGGCACATACCACGCTGACGGAGAATACACATTTTCCCTGAGGATCCGGTAGGTGACCCTGGGCTGGAATGACAGAGGACAAGGGGTGAGCCGAGCGGGCGGCGTCTCTGAAGTCAGCACTGCCTTGTGTCCAGTGCTTATTCCAGTCTGTGTCCCTGCTCTGCAAACTGCGCGTCTGTGTGCTCCTAATTCTCACTGCTGCCACCCGTCTCCTTATTTATAATGCAGCCTTTGCAAAAGCCCATTAGACCAAAGCCCAGAAGAATTCAGGAACTGAAAAGCAACTCCAGGCCTGATTTCATTCTCTGTCCCTCTCTTCTCCTTCCCCACAGCTAAAGTGTCCCCTCGCTGTTTTTCAGCCACCACACAGCACAGTCCAGGGACTGAGAGCCATGTATCTCCCTGGGAAGGTGTGAGCCATGTGAGTCATTTTGCGTTAGCACCTTGTGGGATGTTTGTGTTCATGCAGTGCGGCTGTCACTGCCAGATGAGTGGGCTGCTGTCACACCCGGACCCCAAGTTCAGCATCTGTTTCCTGGAGTAGGAGACAGATAAGAGTAGGCTATGGGGGTTTCAGGATTGGAGATGTCACAGTTAGGTCATGTTGTAAGCCCAAGAAAGGTGTGAGCCCAGTGCCTTGCTCAGGATGAAGCAGGATTTAAAGAAAAACAAGTCCTTTCCAGCCTTGGGCAACTTCCCCGGGCACCCATCCCCTCGCTTTCCCTTTTAGCAGCAACTCCTTATTCTGGTACAGATTAAATGAGCATTATGTCCTGTAAACAAAGTTTATGATACTCTGTGCTCCTATGATTCATAAGACACTGTCTTCTTTCAAGACAGAGTTACAAAACGGTCTGCCCTTGTCCTGTTCAATAAACTCACTTGCTAGCTACATCACTGGAAAAACCACCCCCTTCGATGAAATGTATAAATGCTGAAACTTCTCTTTGTTCAGTCTGCTGAGCCGGTGTGTAGACTTAAAACCTAAAATAAATCCTCTGACTCTCCTTTGGTCTCTCTTGTCCCTTAAAATTCTGCAACAAGGGGAGCCACACCAGAAGTCTTTAGGGTGCCACACGACTCCACTCGTGGGGGCCATACTGACTGGACACGGGAGACAGAAGCGTGCCCCACTTTCAGGTAGACTCAGAGGCAGAAGCTGGTCACGTCACAGGCCATCTCCTCTGGTGCACTACAATATAGGGTGGCTGACTCACAGGGGCTTTAACTAAAAGGAGGAGGAAAAGGGACAGTAGGAGAAGGGCCAGCACCTCCCAGGGACAGAGGAGACAATGTCGCTGTGGACTCCAAGGCTCTCCCTTTCTTCCCCACACTGATCTGCATGACATCGGTTTATTTCGTTCCTATACTTACCACAGCCCGTAATTATTAATTTGTGAATGCTCTGGCCCCAGAGTTTCAGACCCAGTAGGTCAGGAGAAAGTGTTGGGGATTCTGGGTTCCCACCTTCTCCCCTGGAGGCTGTGGGGATGATCATGGTTGTGCGAGTTGTGATTTCTGCAATCTGGAGTGGGTCTGAAAATCTGTGTTTCTAACAAGTGTCCGGGAGAGGCTGATGTTGCTGGTTGGGGACCACACTTGGAGAAGCTCTGACCTGTGCTATTAGCTCCATGAGAGCAGGGATCATTTTTTTGGCTCGTTCATTAAAGTGATCGGCACATGTAAGCACTAAATCAATATTGGTAGATTGGGTGGATTTTTTTTTGGAGTGAAGGTGGGGAGTAGGGTACAGATCACCTCTTGTAAAGAAGTCAAGAGTACCAGGCAGCCAGCTCCCTGCCTCATGGGCTCTGGCTTGCATAGCTCTTGGGATCAAACAGAGGGGGCTGTGAAGGGAGCAAATGACCAATGCTTAAGAAAATTGGCTCTGTCACACATGCCACAGGTGGCCAATGTCTGATCTATCACCAGGAGCTTTATCCACTCCTAAGTGGGCACTCCAATCTGGCCAAATAGTTCAGCTCTTTTCAACCCATTGCTCACTTCTCTGGGGTCAAAGGGCCCCATTAGTATAAATCCCAAGCGCTTACAGCCAGAGAGTCCTGGTCCCCAAGTCCTTACCCTTGGAGTTGTGGTGATGATGGTGGTTGGATGTGGAATGACCTTAATACTCAGCGTCACTGTTCCTGTTTCAACAAGAGCCTCAGCTCTCGTCCTGCTGGACAGCAAGTTGTCATCAGTTATGTAGACAAATAGTTGGTAGTCCCAGATCTTGTCAAGGCCACCAGCATAGTCAAAGCGGGATGCAAGCAACAGGTGTGTAACATTGGAGCCAGCGCTGGGAGAGAAGGTGAAGTGACTGTTGACGTTGCCTAAAGGAGATTTGATACAAGGGTATTTGTAAGAGAAAGAAAAGAGAGTACAGAAGAAAGGAATAGAAGAAAACCGCATTTTGTCTTTTCCTCCAATGCCCCCCTAGGTGTGGACCATGTTTCTGATGGGCCAGGGCCGGTCAGTGATGTGACAAAGGTCCACACGTTAAAGAGAGTACAGAAGAAAGGAATAGAAGAAAACCGCATTTTGTCTTTTCCTCCAATGCCCCCCAGGTGTGGACCATGTTTCTGATGGGCCAGGGCCGGTCAGCGATGTGACAAAGGTCCACACGGTACCAACATCTTCTTTAGTACAAAGAGACTCTTGCCTATGAGCAGTGTGGCTGCAAATGAGGGTGCGTAAAAAGGGACCACAACACACTTGTCCTGGGTGTCATCAGGCAGAGAAAGTTCATAATCCTGGAGTAGCCTCTGCTAGCTTACACCCAGCATTGACCGTGTTTGGTAACGAAGTACGTGGCATGATTCAATGATGCAGTGAATGTTTGAATAAAAAGTTAAAACATAATTACAGACACATTGACATTAATCCTCTCCCAATAATCCCCATCACTTTGGACACATTTACCCCATCATTCTTGCCACTTCTAAAGTAGTTCTTTTTGTAAATGTCTTTTCCTGGCTGCCTCGATGCCCTGAATCAATTCAAAATGTTTATAGCAATTTCTGTCGAATAATAAAAAAAAAACATTCTGGTATGTTCTTAGCCACCTTATTTACTGGACTTGGCCACAGTTGACTTCTGGCTTTGCCCTAAAGTCAAAATGACAATGACGGGTAAACATTTAAAATCCATTGAGGACCCTGGGGCAGCCAAGCCACAAGAGTGCCACTAAATGAGACACTCGTGGAAGAGGGCTTCCGGAGCCGCTTCAGAAAGTGACAAGAAGGTGGGACGAGCGTGCTCAGAGCGAGGTGCAGTATTTTGAGAGGTTAATGGCTGTGTGTTTCTTACTGCAATAGATTTCTTAAAAATTAAACCTTCACGGTGTTCTTGATCACACCTCGAATATAACTCAGACCAGTGAGTGGGCAGCGCGAGCGTGGAGCAGGCCGAGTTCCTCCCCCAGCCGTGTCTGGGACCGGCTGGCCGGCCACACTGGGTCCAGGTGTCCCCGGAGCCCTCCGAGGGAGCTGCAGCCCTGCTCTCCTGCCCTCGCCCCATCTCTCCTCCAAAGATACACAAGCTCTCTGGGGGCGCCCCGCTCAGCTCGGGGAGCCTGGGGCAGGAGGGCTGCAGCCGAGCGCGGCTCTTGCTCATTCCTCCAGCGGCTCCAGACTCATTACCGACCGAAAACCAGCAAATGGTGCAGGAGATGATACAGTGTTTCCTCCCTTCGCAGCGAAGTGCTGCATAAAGGCCTTAGGCGTCTCAGTATGGATTATTTCCATCTCCGGCAAGTGTGGTCTCCAGGCAGCGTCTGCCCCTGGGTTTTGCGACACTGCTGGCTCAGAGGCTTTCCTACCGTTTGCTTCCGCTCTGCCAAGGCTCAGCAGGCGGCCGAGACGGATTCTTGCTCTTTCGCATAGAATTGTTCTGCTTGTTTGGGTTTAAATCTCTTGCCCCAGCACTTCATTAGATGAGCTATTTTGGTCTAATTTTCATTGAAGGGTGTTTCCCCCCGACACACACAACGGTATATTTTCTTTTTTTAAGAGAGAAAATGAGTGAAGCAGAAGAGAATTGCTGAGGACACATTTCAAAATGCATTTTATCTGTTTAATCTATTATTATCCCGAGAGAGGCTGGGCTTCCCTGCCCCCACAACAAGCTTTCAGGAAAAGAGGTGGCTGAGGATTTGGACTAATATTTTCTTTAAATTACACTAATGTCACTTAGGACTCATATTATAGTCTGGGAATTTGGGGGATCCACCCTCAAAGGGGTTCACCTTTCCTAAGGCCTCTGGGCAGCCACGTACAGGTTCTGGGAGAGTGAGGTGTGGCGGGGAGCCACAGAGCTCCCCAGGGAACGTGGGGGCTTTTAGACTCTCCACCTTCCTCCCCCACCCAGCCCGAGCTCAGTACTCCCAAACCCCTGGAGCCTGGAGTCCCCTGAGACTGCAAGGCCTGGGGCCATCGACGCCAAGCTCCATACCTGGGCCAATGGTGTAACGAAAAGATCTGGGGCTGGAATCCAGGTCAGTGCACGTGAGCTTGAAATTCTGAATATTTGTGCCAACTTGCAGATCCACCGGGATGGCCAGGAAATAAGAGTTGGGGGTGCACACCGGCTTCTCATCATTTTCGCCAAGGATGTTCACAGTAACCTAGCGCAGCAACAAGGATCACGCGAAAGAGCTGAAAGACTTGGGTGCCCGGCGAGTTCCCAGCTACATGCCCGATGTGGGTCAGCTCACTTAGCCTCACACGGCAGAGGGAACATGACCGTGCCCATTTCACAGAGGAGGAAAAGGAGTGACTGCCTTACCACTATGCAGCTGCTGAATGGCCAAGCTGGCAGTTCAATTCTGTTCTGCCCTCCCGCAAATCCTACGCTGTTAGCTGTGCACACATGTGCAGGTGAGCATGTACTTTGTGTAACACTCACACACCCCCCATTCCTCACTCCTGGATGCGTGAGCTCTCCAAAGAAATGCTAAGCTCTTTTGCAGCAATGGCGGTGGGCTCACCTGGAACTTTATCCACTCCCAAGTGGGCACTCCAATCTGGCCAAATATTCCAGCTCTTTGCAGCCCATTGTCCACTTCTCTGGGGTCAAAGGGCCCCATTAGTATAAATTCCGAGGGCTCACGGCAGGAGACTGTACTTACGTACCTCCTTGTCCACAGCCCCTCGCAAACTGATGATCGGTCTCTAACTTTGACACACATGGCAGTGGTTCTCAACTCTGGCTCCACTTTCTTGGGCTCACTTGAGGCCACACGAATGGCTGAGTCCCTGGATGATAGGGGCCTGGCCAGGCTCACACTCTCCAACTGATTCTAATATGCAGCCGGGGCTGAGCAACACTGGACCAGAATGAGCAGGCCTGGTTAAGCTGGGATCTCGTCTGTAACCTGGGCTATTAGCACTGCACTGCGCCTGGGAGTTGACCTGCCCAGAGCAGGGCCAGCCTGCGTTTTCATGGCTGCCTTTCACGCCTGGTGCATTGGCACATAGACTGGGATGCCTGCCATCACAGATTCATAGCACGGCAGCCCTGAAAGGGATTTATGTGACCATTTCGCGCGTTACCCTTTTTAAAAGCTTATGAATTTTGAGTCGTAGTCATTCTACTTTTGAAATTTGGGGATTTCAGCTATTTCTGAGTCCTAGAATAAATTGAAATGTTCACTCTAGTTAGCTCCCAAAATGGAGTCCATTCGTTTCTCTCAAAGAACCCCCAGCCTAACAAACACTGCAATTATCTCCCGCTCTACCTGGCTGGCAACACTGAACCTCACACATCACTGGAAACATCATCCTGTTAATTCAAAGCGAGTTGTTGAAGGATCTGGACCATCCAGGTCTTGGGTTATCAGGTAACTCTCCACTAAGAAGTACAAAAATAGGGACATGGAGCTAAGCCCTGCTCAGACCTCATTGAGAGCAGAGTCGAGAAATGAACTCCTGCTCCTGACTCTGAGCTGGTCATCGTCTGTGTCACACAGGGCTGCCTGCTGCTAGCTGAGTCCAGTTGCCTTCATGCTTTTCATCTTATGATTGGTAAAGAACAGGAAGGCACTAATCTTTGTGGCTGTCGTGTTACCCTTAGATAATCTCAAGCACTCCACAGACCTATTAGGCTCCTGTGTGCTACTCAAAGGGCGGCCTTGGACCAGCAGCACTGTCACCCCGGGAAGGATGTTAGACATGCAAGACCTTGGGCTCTGCACTGCTCAGGAGAATCTGCATTTCACTGGGTCTTGGCATCACGGGTGGGAAGCAGTGAGCAGCAGGAATCAGCTACAGTCTGGGTGAGTGGCCCCAGAGGTCCCCATGCTAAAAGCTTGGTTCCTAGGGTAGGGAGTGAAGTGAGGCCTTGTGGGAGATCCTTGAGTTATTGAGGACATGACCCCAGGGGATTGTGGGCCCTGGCCCACCCTTCTTCCTCCACTTCCTGGTAGACATGAGCACTCACGAAGACACACACTCTTGCTGTGATGTGCCACCCTCACCAAAGGCCCCGAACAAATGGGGCCACCTAATCGTGGACTGAACCTCCTGAATCGTGAGTCATCACAAATAGCCTGCATCGGGTATTTTATGACAGTGACGCAAAGCTAACTAATACAGCACCATTATAAGATCTACTCCATTTGGTGTGGTGTGTATGGGGTGGGAAAGAAATGAATAACCATAAAGCCACATCCACATTCCAGCCTGAGTCTCTCACCACTGCTCACTGTGAAGGCAAAGTGAGATTTAAGGAGCCATAGGAGAAATCGCGTCCTACAAAGTGGCTTTGTGGGTTCAGCAGATATCCCAGCGCTGGCTATCAATCTCTATACTTCTCACAGTCACCCACAAACTCGGACCTCAAACAGAGGTGTAAACATTATGGCCGGGCACTACTGCTTGTCTCTCATCACATCTGCAAGTTGTACCCTGTGAAGATTCCTCACTGCTGCAGCCACACGGTGGGGTGCCAGGGAGACCCTAAGTCAACCACTTGGGCGAGTGAGTGAGAATCTACCAAAGAGCCCCACTCACAGTGACCGAGCTTGTGTCCTCGCCATTGGTGGCCTGGATTCTGAGGGTGTAGATGGGCGTGGTTTCATGGTCTGCCTTGGTTACCAGCTGGAGTTCTCCCGTCTTGGGATTAATCCAAAACATATTGGGATGCTGGGGGCTGGCCCCTCCACTGAAGATGGAGTACGTGATGCTGCTCTGGGGGAAGTCCTCATCCATTGCCCGCACCTGTCCAAGCCGGGTTCTAGCTGGAAGAATAGAGTACCTGTGATCAGCCCTGACCAGGTAGGGGTTGGCATGACCCAGGAAGAGATGTTCTTACTGCCATGGGCAAAAAGGCTTTTGGAGGCCTCTTTCCAGTTCAAACTCTGTGCTGCATTTTATGTCTTCAGTTAATTCTATTATAGTCAAATAATGCTAATGAGCAGCCACCAGGTAACTGGACCTAGGACCCAAGCGCTGCTGGGACGTGTGGAAGGTGGCTCATGGCTTCATAGAGAATCAAGGACAGCAATCTTTTGCTACCATAAACAACAGTGCGAAGAACATCCACCCTCACCTTTTGGCAGCAGCACTGCCTAAAACTTTCTAGTATTTTCAACATTTCCTCCGAAAAGCATGAATAGCTCTTAAAACAAGATGAAAAAGTAAATAATTTAAAAAAGAACAGCCTCTGATGATTACGGAGTATAGATTTTTCAATCTTCTTTCATTCTGTTTACTTTACAAATATCGTTGGTGGGGCTGCTGGAGTTCTGGCTTCTTGTTTTATAGAAGCTCTCGCTCATAAACTACCCTCCTCCAGGGCGGAAACCTTCTCTCATTGAGTTGTCCCAGCACCGAGAGCGTGACCCAGAGCAGGTGGTCAAAAATAATTGTCGTAAAATCTGTGCAATCATAAAAAGCCTGTTCCTGGTCATTGTGCTATTCACTGGGTAAGGTATTGTTCACTTGGTAAAGTGAGAAACTAGAAGCATTTGCTTTGGACTTTCTTTTTGTGTTTTGTTTTAAAACTTCATTGTCAGGAAATGGAGAATATCACAGAGAGAAAATAAAATTGGGAAGAGATCATTTTCGAGGGAGTTTTCTGGTTTTGGTTCGGTTTCGCTTTTAAATATGGAAGAATTATCCTTGGTCTGGAGAAGAAAGGCAGTGGGGAGTCCATCACAGCGGAGACTTACGCACAAGACTACCCCGGAGAGCTAAAGGTGCACCAAGGGGGCAGAACTGAGAGGCTTTTCTTAGTGAAGGAGGAGCCCGCAGAAGCCAAGGTGCTGCGAAGGGCAGGGGAAAAGGCCTCCGATGACTCTGAGGAGGTGAGAGAGAAATGTCTTTATTTTTAAGTGAAGGAAATAGAGAAGCAATGAGGTGTTTTTACATTTCAGTTCTCTGAGTGAGCTGGTTAAAAAGTCACAGCGGAGAGCAGGAGAAAGATCACAGAAAGGATTAGTTGAATCGGGCAAACAGACAAGGAAGCAATCGGGGTCTCAGATAAATGCAATTTAATCAACAGTTTTTAAAATCCAAGTTTTCTCAAAATGGTTCTGCCACAGCAAGGACAATTTTTAAGAAATAAGAGAGGCAACAAACAAATCAGTCGCTGCGCACTGCACCATCGAGGGCCTGTAGGGGGCGCTCTGCCTTCCCGGACAGGCATTCCCAGGGAGCCCGCCCGAGTTTTGGAACTTACCGGGTCTTGTCTCTGACACATCAAATACATAGGATGGGCTCTCGAAGACAAGAGGAAACTCATCTTCTGGGCTTGTTAAGATACATATGTGGATATTATCTACAAATGGAAAGGGAAACAGACTTAAATGGCAATTGTTATTCACTAGTTTATTCACCTTTGTTTTTTTCAGTACTAGCAGTTGAACTGAGGGGCTTGCACACACTAGGCAAGTGCTCTACTGTGAAGCTACATCCCCAGCCATTTAAGTTTTTTTTTTTTTCACTTTGAGACATGGTCTCACTAAGCTGCCCATGCTGTACATGCAGCCTCCTGCCTCAGCCTCCCAAGTAGCTAGGATTACAGGGATGCACAGCCAACCTTTTTAAAGCACCTTCTGAGTGCAGGCTCTGGGAGACAGGCAGGTAAGACCTACTTGTTCCTGGCTTCAAGACACTGTGGAGGTGTTCGCTGAGCCTGACAAGAACAGAGTTAAAGGAGGGAGGAATGTGCATTGTGGTTGGGGGGACGCTCTACGCATGTGCAAGAAGACAGGTATAAAACTGCATGATTCACTCAGGGCACCTACAACTGGTTTGATCTTGTTGGAAAAAAGGGGGCTGGGAGGAGAGGGACCAGAGCAGTAGCTAGCGAAGTGAGCAGCAGCCCCGTGATGGAAGTCTGTGTGCTGAGCCAGAGTTTGCACTCGAATTTGACAGCTGCAGGGCACCTGTAGGAAGTGATGTGATGGTGTCTGCATTTCCAAGAAAAGTCATGCAGGAGCGAGAAAGATGCACTGGGAAGGAACAGGACAGAGGCAGAGAGACTCTTTAAAGAGCCTGGAGTGTTGCAATTCAGCCAGAAAAGGGGAAGGCCCTGCTTAGAACCGTGCTAGTGGGACGGGGAGACCTAACAGGACTCCTAGAATTGCCTGTGAGGTTTTATCACTGACGCTCAAGGAACAGGCCCATGACACAAATGAAAATGATACTTGCTTTTATAATAAGGAGGGGCAACGTCCTGCACCTGGATGATCAAGGTGTACTGATTGCCCACAGCTAGATTGCTCAGATTCTCGTAGTCTAGATCACCAATCAACTAGATTAAAACAGAGAAAGTACATTATACAGAATAAATCCTATACACTGACATTTTCATATTCTGACAGCAGATCTTTAAATTGGCACAGCCTTTTTAGAAATCATTTCCCTATCATTTTAGGAGCTTTAAAAAAATTGCAACCACCCACTGACTGCCGCTCAAGTGTGAGGTCCCAAATTCGGCCCCCAATACCAAACAAACAAACCAAAAAGGTGCAACCCTAACTTGTGCCCTCCTAGAGAATTTACTCTAAGGAATTTACCAGGGAAGAGAACCTACATGCAAAGATGTTTATCTAGCACTTTTGCACAGTAAACATAGGCTGGTGACTTCAGATTAGCTGAAGAGAAGCAGGACAATGGACCTTTTAACCAGGGATATTTTCATTATTTCACTTGTGCATGCACATGTGTATGGAATGTAGATAAAAATGCATGCATAGATAAAAGGCAAGAAGGGAAATATAGCAAAATAGTGCCTGTGATTGTCACAGAATGGTGATGTTTTTCTGTGCTTTCTGCATTTTTCTATAGCAAATATAGATTTCTCTAAACAGAAAAACACAGAGATGAGTTGGTGGATGACAGTACGGATGGAGTTGGTGAGACTCTCAGGCACTCAGGCGGGGCTGGGCCAGGAGGCAGAGGAGGAGGTGGGGTGGAAGGAAGGGTGTGTTTGGGCTGCTTGCTCTCCTTCCCGACACTGGACGTCTGCTGCAGACACCCCAAGATGCCACCCACTTGTTCCTGGCCCTCCAGAAGAGGAGTCCCGTAAGCAAAGATCTCCCAGGGCTTGCCGGGCGGCCTTTCATTTTGCCTCCCGCCCTTGTATGCTATCTGTACCATCCCCGTCTCCTGCCCCTTTGCGTCTCCAGCACTTCTGTAATGTAGAATCTAGCAGGACACACTGAGGGCCCAGCCCCGCTTCCCAAATAAACAAAGTGCTTGAGTGCAGAGGGCACTAACATGTCCATAAAAGCACAAACTGAGCTAGGCAGGGAAGAATCCAGGCCCTGGCACCCCCAGCCCAGCTAAGTGTAACGAAACAGTTCCCGAACCCAGGTAAAAAAAGAGCAAATGGCGAACACAGACTCACGATGAAGTCTGTGAGTTGCAGTGGCTCTGAGAGAGGGTAACTTGGACATCTCTCTCTGTGGGGCAGCTAATGCATTGTGCCTGTAACCAGCTTCCCCAATGACCTTCTGATGATGCAATGACCATACACTGACCACGATTTTCCCAGAGCCAGCTGGATCCTGTAAAAATCTGCGGCTGCTGCCCAGTCCAGATGGTGCCGTGAAGTTGAATGTGTTGTGTGGGGCTTCGCTGTCACTATCAAAGCAGAACTTGTTCAGGTCCAGGAGCAACGTCCCATTGGCCACAGTTTCCGGCACCATAATGCTGGGTGAGAAGACACAGTTCAATCATTTCTCCCCACTGGCAGCCCCTTCTGACCTAGACAGCACCCTTTGGTTTCCAGTTGGGAGCCAAGCCTGGCTCGTCACAGAAGCCTCCTCACAGGCTCCCCGCTTCCGCCCTTGCCTCCTTTCAGGTGCTTTTAACACAGTCAAGGGAGGCATCCTGTTAATTTCCCTCC